AACCTGTACGCAATGTCAAATATGTGAAGGAACTACTCGACGAATTCCATGCCCTTCATCCAAACGCACCGCAGCCAATCGCTCTCAACAATCCACGACCAGTTGCCCGGGAGTTTCAACGCAATATCTGGTTTGAACGCTTCGCAGGAGCTCAGATCTTGAAGAGGGGGTAGTGTCACAGTTTTCTCGTGCCACGTGACCTGGGGGTCATGTGAACCAGGACAGACGCTCACCTTGACCACGGACAACTCGTATCGGAAAGTGGAGGGGCCAGGATCGAACCCCAGACCTCGTGACGGCCAGGAGCGCCCATCCTCACTCACTGGCAGGTGACCGATGTGACAGCAGGAGCGCTTACTCATTGGAAGGAGTCCGGACTCGGCACGACTCAGGTATTAGTCGTAAGGTCACCATGAGGCAGGTCAGAGGGTAGGACATGAGGCAGAGAACTCTGACCAAACGATGGTCAATAGGTACCTGGTCTGTGCACTATTGCATTTGTATAAATAGTAGGGAGTCTGAGGCAGGGAACCTCAGACTTGATCTTCTCGTCGATTCCCCATCTCCTCTGTAGGTAACTAGCAGCCCTACCTCCCTCACTACCCCTTCTAGTCTAGGGAATACATCTCTTCACATCTCTTGCTGTGTCACCTCGGGTTGCTTCGCTTCTCAGCACCAACCTCTGCACCAGTAAGCTTTGCCCTTGTTTGTTTTGGTGGCACAGCTCGTTGGCTGTGACAGTACCCCAAGTACCTGTACAAGTCCGTGACGTTTTCCTGATGCCCCCGTATCCGTTCTCATATCGTCTACACTGTCCTTCGCATGCTTCTCGATTCCCCTGACTTCAACTTCCCAACGTACATTCCTCAGACTCACCCAGCTTTTGCTCCACCTCCACCTGTCAGCCGACTTCCTGCTGGTCATGAGAACATCACCAAGCAGTTCACCCTCGGTACAGTCCACATTGACGAGTCAACGTACGAGGGAACACGTGATCTCATCGCTGAGTTCCTCCGCCAGCTAAATCTCTTCACCGCCAAAGAGATCGAGCACCTGGCCAAAGTGGCGGCGCTTGTCTGGATCGGTGACCAGCTCACCATTGAGCGCCTGCGGGGGCTAGCCAACTATCGGTCTGAGGACCTCAATGGCTTTGATCGCCTGGACTGGCTGGTCTTTGTCTTTGGCTGGTTCCATCTTCTCATGGCCTTTGCAAACTCTCTGCACCGTCAGTACTTTGGGTCGCCTGCGAGAAAGGGCCTGCGCCAGGCATTTGCACTGCTCAAGCGCACTGGACTCCAGTCTGTTCAGATCAAGGGCACCTTTTATCATCATCTCCATGAAGGCATCTTCCATGTGACAGAGGCCCATATCCGTGATTGCTGGCGCAAGGTGGGTGGTGTGGCTGAGTTGGCTGAGCTGCGCAATAGGTCCCCAGCCGAACTCAAGCATCTTGCGGAGACCCTAGTCCAGCATTACGCGTCAAATGACCGTGTTGAGGACTTGGAACATGTCGCCCCTGGAAAAGAGGACGACTTCCTCCGCCAGGCCATCATGTGGAACCGTGATGCATTACACTATGTTGTCCTCTGGCATGCGATGCGTCAAGGTGATGTTGGACTCATGGAGGATCTCTTGCCTCATCTCTTCCTTCGCTTTTCGGGCGGGGGAAACCACAAATATGCGGTGGAGATCCTGGAGCTACTACAAGGCCTACATCGTGAGTGGCCCGAGGACGTAAAGTATGTGACATAATCGCCATAAATACCAACTGCATGTGCTAACATGCTCCACAGGGCATTTGTGCGACAGAATTGCTGGGTCATCAACATGAAAGGCGGCGAGGAAGATTGGACAGCAATCGACTTGGCAATAGAGCGGACAGTCCAAGACGTCAAAGTAACTTACCGACCAAGGGGTCCGCACCAATCTTGGGAGCTAATGAAGCAGCGTGCGCCTGCCATCCCCACGCTGCGCGTCCTCGACGACGACATTTCAAGACAATTTCGAACTATCTACAGAGGTACTACACACACAACGCCTGCCAAAGACGCCGACGTCCGCCTCCTCGACGAGCACTACAACAGTGCACGCTTACATATATACACTCCCGGCCGTCGCACCACAAACACTGCTGATAAAGTCAGGGAGTTTGTCAGTAACGGGTTCCACATCGCAAACACAAAGATCATACCAAAATGGCACACGAGGCGCGCAGCATATGAGCGCGCAAGCTCACAAATTTGGCCTGAGAATCTCTGGACCCCCGACAGTACGAGATGTTCGCGCAGAACTTGCAACAATCACGCTCATCTGGCTCAGCCGCAGACTAGCGGGACCAGCTGAGGTGCGAGAAGGGATGCGACGACGGAGCGGCGGTGGGACTCGCGCGTTGTGTGGGCGAAGGGGGGGACGCCACTGGGGCTGCGGAGGGCGGTTCCGACAAGAGATTGAGCTGGGTAGCTGGGGGAGATCGAGACGAGGATGATGGCAACACACAGGAAGCCTGGGAAGGAAACAAGTAACTCGAAGGGGAGGATGTGTACACGCTGTGATATGGCAGAGGAGAGTACGATGGAAAGGGGAATGGAAGTGGTATCGCGGGCAGAGAACGTTGGACAGGTGTGAAAGGGAATGGCAACGCGAAGCCGGCGTGCGCGAATGGAAACGGAGGGTGGTAGGGGGGAGAAGAGGATGACGGCGAGGGTGCGTTCAGCGCGGCGGATGGTCCCATGGGGCCCGTATACAACACCACGGTGCGAGCCCAGTTGCGGTGGGCTTTGTCCGCCTCCTGCTGCGCCCGTGCGGCAGCTTGTTTGCGCACCTTGTGGAGGGCGGCCTCAGCACATCGTTGTGCTGTCGCGGCCTTTCGCTCTTCGCGCTTCTTCAAGGTCGCCGCCGACCTGCGTGCATCCTCCGTGAGATCCAGTTCCCGGACAATCTTGAGGACTTCCCCCCCATGAGTGTCGACATGGGGCCAGGGGGGGTTGAGGACCCGCTTAAGGTCCGGGATCGTCTTCAGATCCCGACGGAGGGACGCGATGGTCGTGAGCGCGTTGTCGGGGAGGATGTTCTCCGCTTTGAGCGAGGAGAACCTGTATTTGGTGCGCCGCGTCGTGTATCGCCAATTCACGAGGGCGGTTTTCACGGTCTTGAGATGGGTGCCTTTCCGCCGTTTGGGAGAGAGTCGGGGGCGCAGTGAGTTGTCGACATGTCGCGCAGGGGAGCCGGCGCGAGAGGCTACAGCCTACAGCTCGTAAGGTGAGGGATCTGGTGAGATCAGTCAGAACGGCACGGGACACACCTGCTCGTGGAGCCCCGAGCCATGCTTGTGCTCGTCGTTGTCCTCATCGTCCTCGTCGTCCAGCATGGCGTCGAGAGCGTGATCGGCGGGGGCGACGTGCATGTCCGGGGGTGGCGGTGCTGTGGCCAACGACACCATCGGGCCCTTGGGTGTCGCGGTCACAGGCGCTGACGGTCCAGTGGAAAGGGCGGTGGCGGTGGCGGCGGCACAGTTGTCGCAGCAGCGGGAGGGGGACATGGCTGAGAGGAAGATGGGTGGTGAGAACGACCGCCCACAGACGCGAGCGCCAAACGTTACGTACGGGTGCGTCGTGGCGGGTTGTTGAAGTAGGCGTCCGCGACGCTCCTCCTGCACCCTCCTGCCTCTATCCAGGCGCGGAGATTCTCTTCGACACTTTTCTTGTACCTCACTCCCACTGCTGCTGCTGCTGCTGCTGCTGCTGCTGTGGCGCCGTCATGTTTTTGCTCCTCCTCTTCGAAATCGGACTCGCCGCTGGGATCCTCACCCTGGCTATCATCCTCCTCTGCGACTGCCCCTGCTTCCTTCTTCACCCCTACTCTCTGTACGACCGACCGCTCCATCATCATCACTGCTGTTGCCTCCAGCAGCGGTGACCTTCCAGCGCGACCAGCGCGCTGGAGCCACACCGCTAGATTTTCAGGGACGCCGAATTGCACGGCAAGGGTGATATCGGGCACGTCCATTCCCTGTTTCTCTTTTAGCGTTCAGTTAATACTCAACTTTTTTTCACTCACCATTGCTGCGGCCTCTGTCGCAACTAATATTCGAACCTCCCCATCCTTGAAACGCCGCCAAATCTCGCGCTTCGAGTCTTCTGCCCTGTGTGCATGCAAGATCGCGATCTCATCGCGCAGTAGCTCCCCGACCTTAGCTCGAAGTCTATGCGCGACGGCATGTGTCTTCGAGACCGCATTTACAAATATAATAGTGCGTGGTATTTCCTCCCGTGTAGTAGCCCCTGCGACTATGAAGTCGAGCGCAGCGTAATCGCTCGCCGACTTCATAAGTCGCAATTCTTGTTTTATGTTGGGACGATCGTTCCCCAGGTTCAGGTGAAACGAACGCGTTCCCTCAATGGAGAGGTTTGAACGTGTTCATTCCAGCTGAGATGGGGTCAGAGTAGCTGACGTCACCAAGAAGGGGACAGGCTTCGGGACGAGTCCCTGAAACTTTTCCAGCCCGCTATATTCGGGTCGGAAGTCGCCCCCCCACTGCACTATGCAGTGTGCTTCATCGATGATGAACGCCCCAATACGGCTCGCGAATTTCGGTGTCGCAATAAGCGTTCGGAAGCGGGAATGTTCTGTCATCTCTGGTGATGTGAGGATGACGCGGTACATCCCCCCTTCGATTTCCTGTGCTATCTTTAAATCCATGTACACGTGGTGACTCATATTTTCCATACCTCCAACAGCTTGTCCGAAAACATTATCCTGTTCACGGCCGCCGCAGGGACTTTCAAGTCAGCGAAGCGCTCCGCCTGCAGATCTCTCGTAAGTTTGTTCCCCACAGAATGTCATCGAACAGCATTCATACTTACTTGGTCTGCTTCTAGCGCATTAAGAGGAGAGATTATAAAATATATCTTTTCGGCTTCTACAAAGGTAGGCATGACGAACGGCATCGTCTTCCCGCTACCTGTCCCCGCTATGACCGTGCAGTCTAATCCCACCAACAGTGCCTCTGTGACATTCACCTGCCACTGGTGTGGCACCTTCCCTCCCATGCGCTGTCGGAAGGTGTCTTCGAGCCTTTGCCGTGTGGCATCCGAGTCGTACCCACGCGAGGCTTTGGCGGCTTCTCGGGCGGCTTCCAGGATGGCATACGAGCGGGAGTGTTCTTCTTCGTGGGAGAGTAGTCGGGGAGTAATGATAGCCATGTAGAGTATATTAGAGCAAGCCAGAAATCATAGTTTAGGAGGTCATTGTGCCCAGTACAGGAGGTTTCGCAAGGTGTAACTACAACAGCAGGCCGCCACATTGCACACTGGAGTCGCCCTCCGACTTTTTCGGACAGCCCCAAATGGGATCGATATGTGACACAGGTCACCGAGCGGGGGGTCACGGGGGTAAAGCCACCAGACGTTCAGGAGCTCGGATGCCCCCGGTTTTTCGCATCCGATTCAAGCTCCGAACGTCTGGTCACGAGACTAGGTCTAAGCGGCGATCGACGGACGGAGTCAACGCGTCATTTCTAACAGATAGTCACCTGACTGCAGGCTGTTCGGAGACACCCGGTCCCTTAGTCTGGGGCTTCCGCTCCGGCTGCCCTCCTGCAGCTGTAGCTCTGTGTCGATTCAGCATCTCTCCTCTGTGGTCTCACCCGGAGCTAACTTACACGGCCGTCTCTCAGAGGCTCCTATACGCTAGAAACGCAGTTGGCCCCACTTGAGTCCACAAACTGGCCGATCCTCTCGTCCGCGGTGCTATCACTCGCTGCCGTCCTGGAGTACCAGAGCATACTTTCCCTGACATCCTTGCTTCCGCTCGAAATGCTCGGTCAGCTTTTTTCACCTCACAGGATCCGAACTGCCTGGCTTTAGCCTCCATTGCCGGGATGTTGAGACGCTAGCAAGCAAGGGTTTGTGACCTGGTCGATAACGAGAGTCTGTCGTCCTCAGGTGAGGCTTACATCGCACAATGCTTGCATCACTGCCATGTGCTCGTACAATACCGTATTCCATCTTGCTGGTGCACACATCTCACTTCCTTCCTCCGTCAGCCACTCCCATCAGATTTGTGCGCCAATCTCCAAAGTCGCAGCTGCCTCAACATCCTGCCTCCTCCCGCCTGTCGTCTGCCCCGTATCTACCCGCTTCGTCTCACTTTCCTTATGAGCCCTTCCCGTTGCACTCCCTTAGGGCTTCCAGATTGCGGTGGGACAATACAGGCCGGAAAGCTAACATTCAAAAGAACACGTTGCTGGCCTATTCTCTTGAGGAGTGCAGATAAGAGGAGTGCAGATAACACTGAAGGTCAGAACGAAGTAATGAATGTGAGTTCTGTTCACTCGCACGAGCACCGTCTTCACGACAATTGGGTAGGCTGGTCTTCGAATTTGCTGGAGGGCTTGATATGCAGCACGATAACGGTTGAGACTTGAGCCGTCGCAGTCTAAAGCACGCGTACGTTCTCGTCCCTTCCCCTCAGAGACACAGAGCACAAAGTTCACATCTGGCAGCACACAGAGCGAGTTATCTATCAAGCAATAGCGTAAGCGTAAATACGCATAGCAGATGACAATTCCTGCCGAAGGGTGCGTCAAGCACCCGTTCGCCACTATCCTGCCGCGTGTGTACCCTGACCTCAACTCAGTGACTCGGATCCTCTAGCAAGTCGCGACCGCATGGAGGCTGTCTGGTGTCATCCTTACGACGAGGTTCGATCGCCTCACAGTCAAGCCCAACTTCCCGAAGGTGTGGAAGAGCATCAACGCATAGAAGAGCATCAACGCATAGAAGAGCATCAACGCATAGAATGAGGCCTGAAGAGAGGCGGCAGTGTCATGATGAGGGAAAGCGCGACTTACGTTACTCTTATGTTACTCGTGAGATCACCTTATCAGAGCGGGGCAATCGGGTTCAGGCGGAGCTCTTGCACTGACTTGCGGCTTGCTGGCACATGCGCCTGCCGCGAGGTGGACGACCGCTGGCTGCTATACCTGGCCCCGGCCAATTCGCTTCCCGTTGGACTGGCACCCAACTGCTCTCTTTTCTCACTTTCACAAACACAGCGACAGTAAGTGAGTATACTATGGCCGTCCTGAGCTTTCAGGCAAATGACTTATCCTGAACACTCTAAGGACTATAGCTATCAAATGGCATCTCCCTCAGTCGGCACTGAGCTGCAGCAGATCAACGCGGACCCCGGACAGCCTACGCCGGGACAGGGTCAAGGGCGCAATAGCTCTCACATAGTATCTGCTGATCCTTCCGCTGTTCCACAACATGGCGGCATAGAAGGGGCAGTATGTATATTCATAGCGCCATTGATGGGACTTCCACGTTGACACCTGTCACAGAATGCCCAAAACGGCGGCGGCGAGAGTACTCCATCCTTCCCATGGGAAGTACCTTCCATCGAGGTGCGTCAAGCGCTCACGTACCTGCTATGAAAGCGCGTTGAACCTTACCACGATACAGGATCTCAAAAAGGAATTTCGCGAGACCTATTCCCAAGAAGATAAAGATGAAGCGCTGAAATCGACGGTTGAAGTCGTCAAGCAGTATAGCGACGAGATGGTGAAGAGATGGAAGGAAGAGATAGACACCCTTCTCGTCTACGTACGTCGCATGCTGGACCTGATATAGTCATCACCGAATACTTATCGGCGCACCAGGCGGGTCTATTCTCGGCCATCCTCACCGCGTTCAATGTCCAATCGTACATCCTCCTCCAACCCAGCACCCCGGATCCCACTCTTGCCGTATTGCAGCAGATCTCCCTCCAGCTCAACAGCTTTTCCGTAACCTCCTCTGGCACGCTCGTCAATTCTACCCATCCTGTCACCCCCTTTGCCCCCATCCCGACGGCCCCGGTTGAGGCGTGGGCTGTGTGGCTGAACAGCCTGTGGTTCTCCGCGCTCATCTGCAGTCTCGCGTCCGCATCGGTCGGCATCTTGGTCAAGCAATGGCTGCACGAGTACGAGGCCGGCATCTCGGGGACCTCGGTGGAGATCGCGCGGCTGCGGCAATACCGACTCAATCACTTGGAGAAATGGCGTGTTGCCGAGATCATTGCAATTCTTCCGGTCCTGCTCCAGGTCTCCCTCGCATTCTTCCTGGCTGGTATACTCGTCCTTCTCTGGCACCTACACCCCACGGTCGCTTCCGTCGCCAGTACGCTCATCAGCCTGCTGTTGTCGTTTGTGGTGGTCACGACTGTCATGCCCGTGTTCTGGCGGGACTGCTGCTACCTCTCGCCTCCAACGTACGCTATATTCCGTGCTGTGCATCGTATCCATTTCCTCGTCACATCGCTTAGGAAATTGTTCAAGGCACTGTACAATTGTTGCGACGCACTCATTGACCTCGAGTGGCTACCAGTCTTCATTCGTTCGTGGTTCAGCGACCTCCGTCTTTGGGCTATGCGTCAGGACTGGAATACGGTGACAGTACCTACATGGCGTGGTCGAGAGCGG